TCGGACGTCTCTCGTCACACTTCAACGATCTTTTCGCTCCTTCTTGACAACGTGCACTGCAGTGGCGCGGCTTCTGTATAAGCATCCATTACCCGCAGAATTCCTTGCTGGTTTGGGTAAGGCAAACAAGATGCCATGAATGCAATTGCATGCTACTTGCTCGAAAGCGTTTGTTGGAATCTATTTTGTTGATTCTTTCACAGCAATGTCCCCCTGTACAGGTCAAGCAGATGCTGCCGATGAGCTCGGGCTGGGCCCAAATGCGAGCTTCTTAACGAACAGATTCTAAAGTGTATTCGGTTCGATTTGGCCCTGTGCTGCGTACAAGATGCCGTAGCCATTCTGTTCATGAGACGTGTCATTTCATACGGGAAGCGAGCTGCGCTTGAAACAAACTCCAGGCTGGTCGAGGCCGAGGCCGAGGGCTTGGAGGCGGGTCTGGCCCGCCGTTGTCTAGCATTGGCACAAAAAGAGCATGAAAACATTCCATCCGAACGGGCCACACCTACTGGGCCACCCGAATGTAAAATTTAGGGGAAGGAGCCGTTCAGAACATGAGACACATAGACACAGCATAGCCACAGAAATGAATAGACTCCTCACAACATGTCTTGATTTTTGGATAGATGCAGGAATGGACTCCCTTCAGTATGGTGTACAGACTAGATGTGTTCTGCACCAACCCTTGAGACACATTGGTGCTGCCTTTGTGACTACTTCGTCATTCTTTCTTGTGCAAATAGCGTGGTTCTGGTGAAAGCGCCAGAGGCTTTGGAAGCTGGCAGCTTGGTCGTGGTGGCCTTGGCGCACGCGGCCTTGGAGGCGTCCGTAGTACGGGTCGGGTTGGATGCCAAGTATGGTAGGATCTGGTAGGTGGATATGCGGCACCAATTTGTTGAGGTTGGATGCAGGAGCGTATGTTGTTCCTCCCGTGGTTGAACCAATTGATCTATGAGAGTAAGTAGGGGAGACAGTCAGACAAGGTGAGTAGTGTCGATTGATGGACTGACATCCAAGAGATGAACTAAACATATCAAATGGAGTCCACTGGCGCTCAGACCCATTCAGACCAGACGGTCTAGACTTGCTGATTGTGTCACAAGTTCTCACATTCTGCTGCTTGACATGCTTGGGCCACGTTGCTGAGACATTTGTCAAGCAGGTGCCCGCGGTGTGGGGCGTGGAATGTTTGGTGGATGGGCTGGCCAGATTGCCCAGAACGATGAAACAGGAGCAGAATTGATTGAGAGTCTTTACTGTATGTCTTTGTGTATTTGGGCTGGCCAGCTAGTGCTGTTTTGTGGTGTGCTAGCTGGACCCATCCTTCAGATTGGCAGAGTCCGGCATTCGCATATTTAGTGCTGAGGTGGTGCACAAGCCCTTACGCCAGGTGTACTTGTGCCCCTTGGCCAGAGAGGGTTGCATATGCCATCTCATGCCATTTGCATCATTTTGCAGCAAGTCTCTCACATGTCTTCCTTCACAACTTCGCTAGTTTCCATCCCTATGGAGCTCTGGAACTCTTCTTCGGGTCTTGTTCTGCCGCCGGTGCCGCCGGTGGCACGAGGGCTTCCACACTCGTCGTCGCCCGAAGACATGAGGCGACTTTACGGACTGAAGGCGCACGCAGCTGGTTTTGAGGGCACTCCGCCCACTACGCAAGGGATCTTTGAAGGGCTTCGAAATCCTTGTCCGACCTTTTGTGAGGCGAAACCCGAACTCAATGGCATGATTGGCAATTGCATCGCTTTTGACAAGAGCTCCGCCCTCGGTGGGAAGACTTTTTTTCTGTATATTTTGTTTGTCGGCCTGACGGACGTTTGAGGCAAGGGGAGATGGCAGGCCGTGCCCTGTGGCAATATACGCCAATACTGAACTGAGTTGACGAGCGCCCGAAGTCAGCGTGGTTGGCAAATGACGCCCCAAGCGATCGGGGCATCGGGGCCAGGTTCGTTTGGAAGAGCGGCCTCAGGCGAGGTTGGGTTCTTCCCGCACCAGTGGAAGGAAGTGACATGCAGATTGGAGTTCCTATATTATAAGCCATTCAAACTTATCCTGGCTTCGTCAAGAGGGATGTTTGCATTCGAGCATTAAGTAGACCGGAGCTGATGTTCTTTAAGCTCGATTCTCCAACAAGGCGGCAAAGAAGACGCAGTCATTTAGAGCAGTTCATATTTCTTTCGAACTGAGGCCGATATGCTGTTCAAGGAGGACAACTTACAACCAGCTCCTGCTTCAGGGAGGAATGGCTGTCAAGCAATTAATGCGCAAATAGATCACGAGACAATTGGTTGGCGGGTTGCTGCAAGGTCAGCGTCGACGAGTACGAGGCAGCTCCATGTGCCTGATGCTTTCTTGGTGCTTGGATTCACGTTCTGGGCAGCTTCAAGTGACACGGCAACGGCAGGCGGCCCAGGCTGCAGCGGAGGGCATGGACTCCAGACTAGCGGCCGTGGACTCAACAAGTTTGGCCTGGGCGACGGTTCAAACTGGATGAATAGCAGTGCAGGCTTAAGTAAATGGTACTGAGTGGTCGATTGCATGACTGAAGCAATTCATCATGATTTTGGGGTGTCATGCTGAGTCATGCTTGAAGATACTGAAGAGGCAGATGTTCTCAGGACCGGCTGCGATGTCCTGCTGAGCGGCCGCCTCAATCTTTGGTATTTTCCAGATTTTGTCCATCCTGTGTGCGCATGGGAGTGTCCAACGAAGGCACGGGATGAACGTGGAAGTGGCGGCCGAAGTCTACGAATGTGATGTCTAGCGCTGAATGGACGACGCAGACATGCAAGAAATGCCCTCTTTCGGACTAGTAGCAAGAAGCTACTAGTAGCTTCTCGCTACTGGTAGGAATGGCCTCCACCCTAGTAGCCATGGCCTCCAACCTAATAGCTTCTTGCTACTAGTAGGTAATGCCCTTGTGACTAGTTGAATGACCCATCATGGGCCCACAACCGCCTACGGCCGATGGCTGGCAGCCTGAGGTTTGTGAAGCGGACATCGAGGTCAGTACCAAGCTGATGTACTGCGAACGCCAGCGACTCAGGGTCACTGGCCGGCTTAGCTTGGCCTCATGGCTGGCAACGCCATAGCCATAGCTTAGCCACAGCCAAGAGAGTTTTCTTCAAGTCAGGAACCTGATGTGAACTCATCGGAAGTGCTCTTTTTTTTGGACCTGCTGAGGTTGTGACTACGCCATTTGTGAAGCTTGTTCAGTGCGAATCTCGGAATGTTCATGTCATGTGACAAAGCTTTGAAAACAAGAGAAGGGGAGAGGGAGAGGAGAGAGGGGGAGATAGAGGAGAGAGAGAGAGAGAGACGTGTGTGAAGCAGGTTGAGATGCTGAAGCGCGAAGCTTTAAAAGCATAAGCTGAAGGATGCTGAGGGTGTGGCACAAAACCCAGAGAAAACCGGGTAAAAAATGGCACCTGGAAAAGACAGGTTCCACATGTGCAAAGTCAACAACAGATGGACAATTGGGTGGAGGATCGTACTGGTTTGAGACCCACTGATTCCTCTGTTCAGTTTTGGCTGTTATACTTCGCAGATGCCAGCTGCTGGTATAGAATAGAATAGAATAGAGCCCCGCCAACATTGGGAAAGCTCCTGATTCCGATACGATTTCTCAGGCAGCATATTCTGGTTCCCAAGTTGCGATACCTGCGAGGTGGCCCTGTGAGTTCGACGTTTAAATTTTAACGTGCCATGAAATCGCCGACGGGCTGCTGACGGGAAGAGCATCAGATCGCATTGAGGATCAGCAGTCCGGGCTGTGAGCACGATCACCAAGCTGCGACACACATGTGAGCCAAAAACGCTCCTGGGCGCATCTTGAAATGCCAAGTTGAGATGGTTTTAGGACCTTTGCCTCTGCCGTTTTCTAGCATTTCAAGCGCCATCCATGTCCCAACATTCGGAGGGCGAGGCAGAGCAGAGTCAGGCACTCAGTTGGCTTTTGGTGCCTTTGAAGAAATCAAGGTCTCGGAGCGACTACAGAGGCAATTTACATCAACCTTCAAGAGTCAATTGAACAAATGGCTGTGTCTGATGTATTGCACCGGTCATTACAGTTATTGCCTTCAAGCGTTGCTCAGTTCTTGGCCGCAGCACCGACACCTGTCGCCGATCGACCGAGGTCAACCTCTGATCAAACCTGGGCCAACCCAGGGCAGCGTGGGCAGTGCGGGCTGCTGCTGGGTGGCCTTGACGGGGATCTCTGTCCTGGTGCTGGTCCTTATAGCTGCCGTCGTCGTGCTGAACTACACGGGGCACACTGACTGGGTGGATTTAGGCGAACACGAGGGGCGGGGAGTGTCGCAAAGCTACCAAGCCATCAATAGGTTATCAAATTCAACCGGCTTCTTGCTGCATCCTTCGCCCGTTGTCCTCCATTTTTCGGAAAAGCGCTCATTGGAGGTCTGGCGGACGCAGGTGTTGGGGTCGAGAAAGCGCGTGAAGGTGCAGCCACTGTGGGGAGCTACGTGGCATCGAGAAGCTCTGAGATCCTTGCCCAAGTTTAGACATTTTTGCCCTTCAACATCGGGAGAAGTGCGTGTGCCAGTCTTTACGTGGCAATGCTGAGACCCCGCATCCACACTATGAGGTTGATTGTTGCAGTGGATGCACACCGTGGTAAGCACGAGAGAACATGATATGACATGGAAGCATCGACTGCATAAATAAACGAGCAGGCTGAAAGCAGAGTTAATGTAGACTCTTGATTGATATGATTAATAAACCATTACAATCCAAATGGGTGGGTTTATCAATCAAGAGTCTACATGATGTAGTTCATGCAGGTTCCTGAAGCCACAGCAGAAGCCCAGCTTGTTCTGTTGGTCACTCATTCAAGCTGGTTCTGGAGAGCCTGGGGCTCGGCCTTCAGGATCCTGAGTTGAGTGTGTTCGTTGTGGCTCAGCGGTTTTGACATTGGATTCCGCCAAGGGAGGATCTGATACGACAGCATCGAGAGAGAAACACCGGCATCTTCAGATGTGATGATTGGTTTCCTGCCATTGAAGAAACTGACGCCAAAGAGAATGAGAGTAGACACAAATGAGCATCCCTCAATCTGTGTTTAAGCAAAGGCTCAAAACAATGTGGTCGGACAGATCTGAAACATCCACTTCATAATGCAAATTCCAGACTCACTAGCCACTAGTTACAAAGGACGATGCAAGATAGAGTTCCCGCTTGCAGGCTATTGCTGAGTGACCATCCAGTAAGCTTCCAAGATGTGAAGTCTATGAGCATTGGTGCATTCAATTCCAAGCGGGCTCCATGGAACTCATGGCAAGAACCTAAGATGGCGGCATCAGCCTTTGAATATCTGATGATTTGTCAAGTTGTGGAATCACACAGGACAGTCAGAGGAGCAGCTGTGGTGGTACTGGAAAGAGAGCAGGTCGCATGAAGACGGCCCCACAAAACATCACAAAGGTGCGTAGCCAGTAGTTAGGCAAGAATATGTGCGTTTTGCCAATAGTATATAGTAAATATGTAATATGATATGCGAACTGCCCAGATGATAGAGTTTTCCTTTTTTTGTGGTTTGTGTGTGTGTGTGAGTGTGCTTGTTTGTTGGTGTTGGGCAGACTAAGACTATCAAGAAATCGGCGCGAGTGGTACTGAGAAACGAATGAGCGGGAGAGGACGGGAGAAGGGCAGGAGCAAGAATCAAAAGATAGACCGCGGCAGAGACAAAGGAAAAAAAAAAAAGGCAGTCGCAGAAAACAGAGGGACAGCGAAAAAGACAAAGTGAGATGTATTATTGTTATTGTTATTGTTTTTGGTTATTCCTATTAGCAGTAGTAGTAGGAGGAGGAGGCGGAGTAGTAGTAGTAGTAGTAGTAGTAGTCGTGGTGGTGGTGGTGGTGGAGGAAAATAGCGAAACTTGAGGAGAGCAAAGCAGCGAGAAAGTTATGAAGCTCAACAGGCAGGGTAGAAAGACGTTTCGAACTGTCAGGGAACATACAGAGCAGGCAAGAGTAGCCATCACGAGCCTGGCTCAATCTAAATACGGTGCGTAGGAGTGATGTCAGATACGGCTAGTTTCTCCACGGACTGCAAAAGTAAAGGCTTGGTTGGTCCTGTTTGTGAGCGCTGAGTTCGGGAATCGTAGCTTTGAACAACGATGTTCCGAGCAGAATGGCACGGAATAGCAAAACTTGGGCACCCCAAAAGTGCAGCCTAGCACAGCTTGACACTGAGGTACAATGTGCCAGTCTTTCTGCGAGCATGGAAGCAGGTGGTGGATGAAGACCAGCGATTCCAACAATATGACTGGACGGTGAAGGTCGACGCGGCGCCTTGGATGTTCCATGCTTCCGTGAGGCCAACAGGTCACATCACTGTAGAGCATCGAAGGACATTTGGATGTATGCGAACGACATCACTGCCGATAAGCTGTGTTAAAGCATCATTCATAGTGCATGCGCTTTCATTCATGGTCCGTTCCACACATGGTCGGTTCCAAGGACACCTTTTTTTTGTCATGATCGCCTGCGACAGCGGCTGGTGAATACCAACTCCAGTGAAGCCTACATTTGGTTGAATTATGATGCATTCAGGCAGCAAGCAACAGGTGGGCTGAGCCTCTTTTCAAACAACTGGTGTTTTGTTGCTGGCTGGCCGAGCATTTTTTTTGCTTTCACCGACCTAGCTATGCCACGACTCGTGAGCCATGCCACGACTCGTGAGCCATGCCACGTCCAGCTCCAGAGATGTGCGCCACCGTTTTTGGGTCCTGCTAATGGAGCTACACTCCTGCGTTGGCCCTTTGTTCTTTCACCATCCGCCGCACATGTTCCTCTATAAAATGCTGGTCGTTTGACTACAAAATGATACAACATGTGTTTGGAACCATCATTTTACAATTATATATAGAGAGTTAATGAGAGTTACAATCTTCATGAAATGACCGGGGAGAGATAAATCTCCATAAAATGACTGGCAAGAGTCAAGAGATGAACTCTTTTTTACGTAAATTGACTCGCAAGAGATAAAGTATGATAAAGTCTCTGTAAAAGGACTACAAGAGATGTCATGCACAGCAGACAACATCATTGTCTCTATAACATGCTATGAATGCAATGACAAGCTTTTTTGATATATATATATATACATATTCATTTGTTTCTGGTGTGTCATGATGAATTAGTGGACCATTGATCGCTCCTATCAAATGACCTTGGATTTCATTCTTTACTGTTTTTGATTTGTCATTTATAATGAACATATGTGGATCGCACTGTCTGGTCTCCTTCGTTTGTCATTTTATAGAGATCTCTAATTTTGGCTATTACTATTCGGACTTGGTTTTATCATTTTATAGAGGCGGCACCTGTCTATCCCTCAAGTGACCTTTAACTAGAGGGCTATCTGGCTTGGAATTTTATAGAAATATCCTTGCCGGTCATTTGAAAGAGGTTTATTGGCTTGCCACCGCTTCTATTGACATGACTTCTCTAAAGAATGCCCAGCAAGTGATCCCAAGTTGAATTTTTAAACGCACCCCATTCCCGAAACTCGAGTCAAGCATGTCTTGACTCATGAAGCTCAAATTATTACATTGTTGTTGTGAATTTGTATTTTCACTCCAGGTAATGTATACACTTTGCCATGCACTGTATATAGGATATCATTTACGCTTACCTCGTAGCTCGCGGACCAAAACAGGAGCGGTAGCTTAACGGCTGTTTTTCTAGGTTATCAGCCGTAGTGCTCTAACCACAGCCATGGACGCCCTCGCTCTTCCTGGTAACGCCACATCACCGGTTGCCGTACCAGCCAGTCTCGGAACTGCGCCCACGATAGATCTAGATGATCCAACGGGTTCAGCCCCTGTGACTGCGTACTTTCAGTTTGTGCAGCAAAACGCCCAGCAGTAATGAGGAAGCAATCATTGCTGAGGCTGAGAGAAGGCACAAGGAGGTAATGGTACAATGGTTGGATATGGAAAAAGCCAAGTTCCACCAAGCGATCCTTGAAGTAGAAGGCAAACACCACGATGAGACTAGTTCAGTGAAGCAACAAGCCCAATCTAGCTACAACAAGTTGCAAGCAGAGCTTAGCGCTGCCAAAGCAAGTGTGTTCAAGCAAGAGAATACAAGGCGTTGGAGGTAGAAACAAAGAAAGACAGCCTCGCGCGCGCCTGCCACGGTGATGGAGGCCACTGTGGCCATTACTGCGCGTCCCTGAGCATGGCCTCGCGCGGCCCAGCCACGGTGATGGAGGCTACAGGGGAAATGGGTTCCCTACGTACTCAACTCATGCACGGTTGTCAGCAAACGGCTAGCGCTATCACCAGCAATGCCGAGCAAGGTGTAGCGAAGCTTCGTGCAGAGTTTGGTGAACGTGAAAGCAAACTTCGTGACCTGAGGGACGCAGAAAATGAAAACTATAGTCTGCAGCAAATCATCGATGACTTGAGGGAGCACAGCCACCATCAACGGTGAGCCCCTCGGCATCAGGCTCTTCTTCCTCGTGGGGATGGAGCTCATGGAGTTGGAGCCAATGGGGTGAGCAGCGGCAGTGGGATGGGGGCGATGGAGCTAGTTGAGCCAAGTCTCAACATCTTTGGCGAGCATAATTCGGTAGCTTTTGCATGATATCCTTTGTAATTATGTATTGCGGTTTTCCTCCCAAGTCCAAACTTTCAAGCTTTCTTTTGACGGCGGGGGGTGAATAACTAAATTGCACTTACTGGGCCACGAAAGGCATCGGGTTGCTAGCGCCCACCGTGTGCCAATGCTCAGCCTGCTTCATCGCAGTGCCCAGCACCAGCCCTAGTGCACTTTCCGCGTCCAGCTTCGGTATCAAAGATACCTCAGCTGAGGGGGGAGTATTTTCACTCCAGGTAATATGTGCACTTTGCCATGCACTGTATATAGGGTATCATGTACGCTTACATCGTAGCTCGCGGCCCAAAACATGAGCGGTAGCTTAACGGCGGCTTTTATAGAACTTAGGGACGGAACTCGATGTTGAGCCATGTGATGTCTCACTGGCGTGGTTTTGATCAGCTGAGGCTGCGGCAAATCCTGGCCCTTTGGACTTTCTGGGGCCGATCGAAATCTTTTCCAAGAAAGCTGTAGCTTGGTCATTTCGCCCCCTCTGAGTGAGCGCAAGCGAACCCAGTAGGGTGCCCGCCTCCCATGACAGACTGTGACCTAGCTGTGCTCAGGTCCAGCTCTATCAGCAGAAGCATTGGCAGGCAGACATGAAGGAAACTGGTATCCTTCATCATCTTCCAGGGTAGCTTCAACTCCCCTTTCCCAATCGGCGTCCCGAATTCGAGCTGACGGTTGCAAGATTCAGAAGGCAAAACTCAGATCTCTCTTGGCAGTGGTAGGTGTGCCCACGACCACATCCGCAGACACAAGGGGAAGATGCCTTCATGCTCCTTGTCTGCTGGGCTATGGCCCCTTGTGTGCACGAATTCTTATGTGTAAAGAATTGCGGGGTCCCATCTCGCCAGGAAAGACTGCTTTCTAAATCTGGGTGCCAATACGAAAACGGACTACAGCATTCTGGAGAATGCATGTGACTGGTGCAAACCACTTTCTCCTGAGCAGTGTGCTGATAGCAGCTCGGCCTCGCTAGGTCCCAGGTAAAGCCTGCATGCAGCCCATGTGTGTTGATTTACTGTAAGGGGTACCACTTGTGTGTTGGCTGTGTGGGCCAAATCTGTGCGCCTTCTTGGATTTCAATTAGAGTTGCATGACTGCATGTTTCATTTGGCTTCCCGAGGCCAACATGTCGCCTTTCATCCATTCAAGGATGTGAAGCAGACTTGGTTGCACTGGTTTTTCGTGCACTTTTGAAAGAGTCTTTTGCACGGGTAGACTCCCTGGTGACATGGGTTTTAGATTAGTAACAAGGGCATTGCTACTAATAACAAGGTGCATTACTACCAGTAGCTAGAAGAGACTAGGAACAAGGTACATCGCTACTAGTAGGTAGAAGCTACGCAGCTACTAGTAAAGTAGCATTTGCAACTTGCCATTGAGGATCTATGCCGAGTGCCTTGAGCATGCAGCGAATGCTGCTTCGTGCTAGGCACAGCGATCGCCGCTTGATTGGTGAGAGGCTGTCGTGCAGTGTCTAAGACACGCCAACAGCTGTACGGCTCAACCCCCTGAGGGGGCTGGGCCAGGGTCATGATTTTGTTCAGCATTCCACAAGTGACGCTTTTTGCTGCAAGCTCCACATATTTGGCACCAGCCCAATGCATGGATACAGTGATACAGTGGATCATGGTGGCAAGATGCAGAGAAAGATTGGAACAGCTCATTTGCTATGGAGTACCCACTGCCTCAACGCCCTTAAATTAAAATCCGCCAGTCCATTAATGCAGCGTGATTCTGCTAGATTCTTGGGTGCTTGATGAACGTGCTCAAATGCTACGGTGACGCATGCCAGAATGCTTAACAATCATTTGTCAGAAAGTGGGTCAAGGCTGTAACAAAGCTTAATTAATGGAGGCAACAAGTTGAGAGTTTGGCCATGATTGGCAAGATTGAAAGCTGGACTCCCCACAAAACATTTTCATGCACTTGCCTCAAGACGCTTCTGTACAAGGTCATGGCCAGGTGTTTGTTTTGTCCTGTCAGCCGCCGGGCCCGCCTCATGGGCGGAAGATTGATGAAGGCTTGGCAACAATCGGAGAGGATGTCGAGGGTTCTTTAACAGTCCTCTCATTTTGCAAGGCTGCAGGCTGTTTGGCTTTGGTAGCATCTGGATTGTGCTTCGGCACGCACAGGTGGGAGTATTGTTTGGGGTTGTGAATGGCCGTTTTCCACCCGCAGGATCCTGGCCGTTTTCATGGGCCCCATCGCTTTGCTAAACGTCCGCCAGCATCGCGCCAGAATTTCAGATACTACACTGCTACAATGCGTCTGCCGGCACATGTGTCTGCCGGCTGCCACCGGAGTCTTTCGGTTGGGGTGCATTGAATGCCTTTTATGTCACCACTCCGCCAGCGTGTCATCCGGAGCTCGATCTTCAGTTCCCGCACCCTTTCCGACAGCGCTTGCGTCCTCTATGATTGAGGTTTGGAAGGGCGCCAGGTGTGAAGCAGAGACGTGCGTAGAAAAGCTGACGGTGGTGTTGGGTTCTATGTTGCCTGGTTGTGCGAGACGGACGAACCGTTACCACGATTGAGCATGAACACTGAGCAACAGCAACAAGCACATGTTGAGCAACAGATGCGTCCCGTTCTCAGCCGCGTTGCTTTCTCCGCCACCGCCCGAATCGCATAACAGAGTCTGAGATCCTTACCAAGAATCACAAGACTGCTTCCCT